GTTATCAAGTAATTCCGAGATTAATGACCTGCCAATCGCGCGCTCTTGATGAGGCTGTAGCCTCTTGATATAACCCCCCATTAACCCTTGGTGTTACCCTGGCACCTCCTGGGGCTGGGAGAGGCAAAGCAGGACCCTAAGGATGGGACAGTGTTATCAAGTAATTCCGAGATTAATGACCTGCCAATCGCGCGCTCTTGATGAGGCTGTAGCCTCTTGATATAACCCCCCATTAACCCTTGGTGTTACCCTGGCACCTCCTGGGGCTGGGAGAGGCAAAGCAGGACCCTAAGGATGGGACAGTCCAGGCTGGGAGCAAGGCAGACTCGCAGGAGACACAGAGATGGGATTTAATTAAGCTTCTTCAATTCATTAACATGTGAAACCCACCATGGAGGTTGCCTCCAGCCCTGGAACTGTCCCCCCAGCCTCAGCCCTAGCCCCTGGGGTCTCAGCTCAGGGGTCCTGACTGCCCTGTGCTACATCCCCAGCACAGCAAGAGCTGGCAAAGGAGAAAACCTGACCGACCCTGACCCTTCATGAAGGACCTGAGCTTTCAATCCACCTTCCAGCCCCACTGCCACAGCCAGGATCTCCCCATTCCAGCTCCACCACCGTGGGCATGATGCACTGTCCATCAGTTGAAGGTTTGTAGTTTGTATGTAAACCTGTCATTCCCTTCCCCCATCCTGGCTCAGTCACCATGTCTCTGTCTGCTTGTTCGCAGCTTTGGGCCATTCCTGGATGTTTAATCCTCTCCGTGCCTTCCCAGGCTGGCACTGATCCTGGATGGGGTGGGAGGAGGGTAGGGTGAGGAAGTCTCATGACAGTTTATAGCCCAATTTGTGGCTTTCAGTGCCGTCTGCCCCAGGATGCCTCTCGCCTGTGATGTGTCATCCTTCCAGCGCTGCCAAACCCCCAAATAAATATTTCATCCTTTAATTCCGATGCCCTCTCACTCGCTGCTCTTCCCCCAGCGCGAGCCTCCCGCTGACATTTGTCACTGCAGTCACAGTTAAATGGCTTTCAGAAACACGTGGCAGCTCTCTGCCACCCTCATGAAATTTTCAAAGGGCTGTATTTTTCCAGTTTGGAGGAAATCTGAAGATTTGAGATGCAAACATGGCTCCCCCTGTTCCCATTGGAGATGTGTCTGTCTGCTCAGCCCTGGAGAAAAGGCTTTTCTGGCCGCTCCTTGAGGAGCCCCAGGGCCATGCCAAAGGCAGCTGAGGTGTGTGCACCACAGTGTGCTGGAGATGGGATCTGCCAGGAGCAGCTCTTCCACTGGGCATCCTGCCAACAAGGCACGGACTTGCACTGTATCGCATAAGGAGGTGCTGGGCTTTGCCTGCTGAGCACCACCCTGCCAGACACCCCTGCTGCAGAGCATCCTCCAGCCCCAGCCATCTGGGTCTGAGACCTGCTTCAGGAGACATCAGCATGATGGGGGGCTTGCGACCCTCCTCGTCAGCCTGCAGCCCCCCTTCTGCCCCCAAGGAAACAGCCCTAGAGGGGTGTAGCCCAACCTGACCCAACCAGCAATCCCCTCAAACACCACTGCTTTCTGCTCCCACAGCAGCACCCATTCCCAGCCAGATTGCTGATACACAGAGCCACCCTTCTTGGCTGCCACACTCAAATTTCGGGTGCAGCAGGGCAAGGATCACAGCTCCCACAGCTCAGTGCTGAGCCCACTGGGACCATTTCCCCAGCAGTGGCCCAATGATGCTGGTGGCAAGTGTCTGAGATCCAGAGATCCATCTCCCTCCATGGTCCATGGCTGCTTCCCTGTTTTTGCACTGAGGCAAATCGCAGGCGCCTGGTCCCCCCCTGCCCTTGTACCATGGTGTCGGTGACACGGCTGTCTCGGCTCAGACAGCCCAAAGTCTTCAGGGTTTGTCTGCTGAGTGTGACTGAGCTCTGATCACGACGCATCAGGGCTCGTGGCTCGGTCCCAAAGGATTGTCTCCGGCTGCCAGAGACTATTAGCATCTCCCTGCTTCCAGAAAGGCTTTGGCTTTGCT